TGGGGCGCATGCCTCACCGGTGGCGTATAGTAATATTTTAGAGGCGCATGTGTAGGATGTGCACTCTTCGGCTTACTATATCAACAGGATAAGGGGGCAATTCGAAAATGAGTTATTAACAGTGAATTGTTTTCTAGTGAGTCTGGGTGACAGTGTTAATGTTAATGCGTGTTAATACATACGATGCATATACAGTATGCATACATAAAGTATTTTGTGTGTATGTATGTACATGTGTAACTGGCATACATGCAAGAATTAAATATTACAGGGGACAACAGAATTTTAGAAATACCAAAGTCGGGCATGGCCAAATTTGGTTGGGAAACACTGGTTTATATGGACTTTTTCTCTTTCTTTTGATGTGAGGAGACCGCCCTCTCCAAAGTTTGTAAAAGTATTTTTGATACAACTTAATATATAAAACACTAGTATCATACTTTTTAAATTGAAATATTTTTGAAGAAAACAATGTTACAATAAGCGAAAATGCATTGTGGTGCAATGGATATCGGCTCTGAATGAGAATTTGGTGATGCCGTGTTCGAATCCCAGCCAAGTTCGTTAGATTCTCTTAAGCACAAATACTCTTTGGAAAGGTATGAATCCATCTCTTTTCCTTCCAACTATGAGTTGAATAGCTGGACAGACTTGGTTCTTTAGTTTTGGTTGGCAACAAGTCTACCGCCGAAAGAAATGACAACCTACTGCGGGAAAAAAAACACGTCTGTCATGTATCGAAAGAGACATGTTTGCCCACACGTGGCACATAACTGACTGATAAGGGTAATATCTTATCATTTTAAATAGCAGGAATTATAAGAAAAAACTTGATTCCATCCTAAATCATCCAGACACATTTAAGAAACTAAAGAAAAATACTACTAACCTTCTTAAGACACAAATAAACAAATTGATAACAAATAACAACGTCGAAATAGAATCAATTTAATTTAACAAAATTGTGTGTAAATTGAAATTAAAAGGTGGTTCCACGCTTCTCAGAATCTTCTGATAAGAATCTTTGGAACTGGATGTAGTTTATCGTTATACCCAGAACACGGTGTTATTTAAGCTACATTTTAGTCATTCCTGATGTGCTGGTCGATGTGTGCACGGATTGCGCTAAGATTTGATATATGCATAGAGACAGAGAGAAAAAGGGCAGGGAAAGGAAGGAAGGTGCCGAGAAGAGAGAGAGAGAGAGAGAGAGAGAGAGAGGAAGAGAGAGGGAGAAAAAGGAAAGAGAGAGTTAGAAAGAAAGAGAGGGTAGGAATCAACAGATTTGGGGGACAAGAAACAGTTATCTGCTTTAGCATCCAGGTGTACTCAGAAGACAAGTAGCCATTGTTATCATTTAATTATATATTTATTTCCTCAGAAGTTTCCTTGTACCTCTTGTTCCCAAGAACTGATAATTTGTAGGAAAGCCTCCCGCGTGATTGCTTTCCAGAAAACTAAAATCTTAATCGCTTCATGTCAAAGGATAATTGCTTATCTATCCCCCTATCTTGATAACCTTCTCTTTCCACTACCTCCTCTTTTATTCATGTCACACACCTAATTTCTTATAATTTAACTAATCATCTACCTTGAGTGGCTCACGAGCCGCGTATTGGTGAACTTTAATGTAAAACAAATATATCTAAAAGTTTCGAATAACTTGATTTTGACTGTATCATCCATTAAAATATTAAGGAATATTTTCACAGTCATAACCATTTAAGATCTAAGACTGGTCCCTTTAGTTGGGTAGTTCAGCTAGTATTTATTGATATAACGAATAGAGGGATATATAAATATAAGACTATGTACACAGTCGTACGCGGTTGCTTTGAATTAATGGGAACAATCGAAGGCGAATGTAGGTGGATCCATTAAAACTGCGGGGTGATGGCGGCGACATGTCGTTATCGGGAGCAGAGCCCTGCTTTTCTCGTTAAGAGTCTATTTGCCTTGGGGAGGTGTTCCCTCACCTTCCCCGGCCACCAAAAAACAAAACAAAACAAAAAAACAAAAAAAGGAGTAGATCGCAACCAGGCGGAAGTGACGTTCGAACTCATCGCTCATGCGCATCAACGGAACTGACATTGAACTCCTTCTCTCTGTCATTTTCCTCCCTTTTTCCTGAGCGCCTCACCTGCTGATCGCTTCCAGCAAATCGAACACCCAATCGATACCCGTAATCAGTGTTTGGGTGAGATATTGCACCACTCCCAGATACGAAACCAACAGTTATTTATATCACCCTACTTCGCTGTGTTAACACAAAGAAAAGGAAACAAACAGTATGTATCATATATATATATATATATATATATATATATATATATATATATATATATATATATATATATATATATATATATATATATATATATTTTGTGTCTTTAGACAGCAATCCTCCTTTCATGCACATTTCATTGAATACGACAAAGCATCAGTTGTCAGTTGATTCAATGAAATGCATATATATATATATATATATATATATATATATATATATGTATATATATATGTCTTAAAATAATTGTCGAACTTTGTCCATTTCATAATGTGCGATATATATATATATATATATATATATATATATATATATATATGTGTATATATATATATATGTATATAATATATATATATATGTGTGTGTGTGTGTGTATTTGGGTAGCAATCCCTCTATTATACAAGTTTCATAAGCAAACCCTCCTTTATACAAGGTGGTGTATCTCTTTATAATCATTCTAAGGAAAAAATTCATACCTTGTCGCTTGTCTTTAATAAAACTTGTATAAAGGTGGGATTGCTACCCAATTACCTAATTATATATATATATATATATATATATATATATATATATATATATAGCAGCATTCGCAGACATCATGAATTCAAGCGCCCTACGAGGCTGGCATCCTGCTCTCACACTTTCACTGTCGAAACTATTAAATGTAGCCGTCTCTTCTACTCCAATAGCTTCATATCTCGACCCTCTCGCCTGTGGAACTCCCTTCCAGTTTCCCTGAGAGCTATAATCTCCAGCTATTCAAATGCAATGTCAATCGACATCTCCACTTGCCTTGATCTATCCACTATCGTTCTCCTCATCCTTTCATCTATCACTCCTATCTGATCTTGCTCCAAATCTTCTGTAACCCCTTGCGTCCTAATGGCTTCCCACCTTGCTTGGGGTGAAACGCTTAAATATATATATATATATATATATATATATATATATATATAAAAAGTTTCAAATTAAAAAATAATAATGTTTTATTTTATGAAAGTATTTATTTATTTATATATATATTGATATTTCAAATTGTCCTCAATTTTTCATCAGAAATAACAGTTATTTCATACTTTCATAAAATAAAACATTATTATTTTTTAATTTGAAACTTTTTCTATATATACATATTAAGAAAGTATACGTGGCTTCTCATTATGCTATATATATATATATACAGCAAGAGTTATAATCAGAGGTTCTTAGCAATTATATTTATTAAAAAAAAACTACTCGATACAAAAAAACAGTAGAACATAATATAGAATCATATTTTAAAAAGAAAACAATTATAATATATATATATATATATATATATATATATATATATATTGTAATTATTAATTACAATATATATATATATATATATATATATATATAAATTATTAATTAAATATATATATATATATATATATATATATATATATATATAATTAATTATTACAATATATATGTATATATTAGCTGTGTCTTTAAAACCAAGTAATTTTTAAAAGTTACTCCAAAATCCGCTTGAAGATGAAATGGAACTAATGCTTTTAATTTAATTGCAAAATTAAATTCGGGGCTTTTAGCTTCTATTTTTGAAACATGGTTAGAACGGTGTAGCGGAAAAAAAAACATATTTTAAATCAATTAATTTATAATATTATTGCTCTGTAAATTTACATTGAGCACTATTTTGTAAAAATAAAAATATCTATAAGAACACCGGATTATATATCTTACTGTTCTTTCTTTTTATTTATATACATTCTTTATATATATATATATATATATATATATATATATATATCTTGGTACCAATCCCTTCTTCATTAATTCCTTGTTTAATGGAACTTGGATAAAGGAGAGATTGCTACCCAAATGCACAATTATATATATATCTAAAGCACCAGGATTTTGAATTCGTTAATTTAATTTACACGCTTTTATAAATTTTCTATTCTCAGAAAAAAAAACTTGATAAGTCCTGGGACGAAACCGATTGTTTTCTTTTAGCATTTTCTTTTAAAAATGCCTTATAAAATTGGTCTTTTCCTAGCTATTATTAAATTCTGTACCACAAAAAATTAAATAAATATATATATATATATATATATATATATATATATATATATATATATATATATATATATATATATAATGTATTTAAGTAGCAAATAGTGCGTAGTTATATAAATACCTGTTGGTTCGCATCTGGGATCGGTGCAGTATTTCACACAATTATATATATATATATATATATATATATATATATGTGTGTGTGTGTGTGTGTGTGTGTCATTCACAGATATTATCATGTATCACAGCTCCTCAGTGCAACAAGACATCCGAATGCCTCAAGCCAGGATAGAAACCCAACCAATGTGGTGTCAGTTTCTACCACTGAGCTATTTTCATTCGATAGAATGAAGCAGCTAAATCTAACGTATTGTTTTTACGAATGTAAACAAATGCCAATCAGCCTGAGGGCTCTATTCATTTTACTGATGAGCTTTGCATCAGTGAATGATCACTATCTTAAAAAATCTTACAAATTATTTCCTGGCTTTAAATAACCTGCAGAAAGGTTGATAAACCGTAAGAAACAAAACAATTCATAGTTCTACTTAGTTCCACGTTAAATTAGATTTTATCAAATCTAATTTAACGTGGTTAATTAATTAAAAAAATCAAAATGCATATAACGTTTTGTACACCCTTAGGTCACTTCACCGGTTCCCGTGAATTCACCGAAGTTAAGCAACGTCGATCCTGGTCAGTAACTAGATGGATGACCGCTTGGGAATACCAGGTGCTGTAAGTTTGGATGTGCGGGTGGTGTAATGGATAATGGCTCGGAATTGTTAATCAGAGAGCCGAATTCTGATTTCTCGTCGGGTCGTTATATTCACTGGTGGTCCGAATATCCAATACCCACGGCTGATCGAATAAGTGATCGGTTCGATCCAGGCCTTGCCTTATCCCACGTGGTAATTTGTTTTGATCATAAGGTCGTCCAAGATCAAATTGTCGTATTGGGCTGGTCCAGGCGGGAGAGAAAGACGCAAAGAAAGAAAATAACACTTGAATAAGAAAAATAAATACTAATTTTATATAAGGTCCTTCGTACAACCGTTGGTTAGTTTGTTGTCAAAGTCTAGCAGTTCGCAGGCAGACGAATATCAACCCAACCCGCTTCTTAAGTGAGACGTGACACTTTGCTGAGTTGGTGAAGTTTGACGCAAGGCTGATGTCAGAGGTTGTCTTCGGCAGCCAGGTGTCTCGCGTCCGGTGGCTGGAACGATCTCGCTTCGAGGTATTCGTATTTATTGACTTTCGCCCAAACCGGCGCATGCGCGTGGTGTGGCTGGGTATTCACTATCTTTTCTGCCTGTCACAAAGAAACCTTTCTCCATTTTCTGGGTTCTGAGAATTAACTACTTCTTCATTTAGGGCCCCCCCCCACTTCCACGGGTGACGGTCGTAGGCATCAATACGACCTATAACTTCCCCCTTCTCTTATTAACATCTCCTACTAATACTCTTCAGTAGGCGTGGGTAGCGCCTCTATTTCATCGATGTATCATCTGCGCCCGCTACCTCGGCTACCCACCGAGTTCTGGAACTACCTCTTAATTGCTGATGTTCCCAGGTCCACCCTGACCCGAGGTGCTAGCATCTGTCAGGGTCCCGGGTATGACAAATAATTACCCTGCCAAAAGGGTTAAAATACTATGAAAGTATAAAAAATAGGCTTAAACATCAGCAATACTTTTTTGGATTTTTTTTTTATTACCTGCAATACATTTTAAAAAAATATTACCAGCAATAAGTTTTGGAAAAAAAAAAAAATTTCCAGCAATACATTTTTGAAAAAAATATTACCAGGAATATATTTTTTCAAAAAAAAAAAAAAAAAAAAAAATTACCAGCAATAAAAATCTTGTCGGCAACCCATTGAGGTTGATATACCGTAAAACAAACCAAACCATTGTTATATATTCCTGCTTGTATCGAATCGACATCACCAATTTGGTTCGTTGTCATGCTCAACCCAACATTCAGAAATGAATATAAACGTTCTTGGAATCTTATCAGTTTTCAAATAGTATTTCAAATAATCTATGAGGCGTACAGTATTTTTTTATGCTTTTAACTATGGCGTTCTTTATTTAAGGCCATGTCATCGTGCACCTGTTGAACAAAACTCGAACGTTCTTCTAGGAGTGAAGACTGCGCGTTACTTTAGAAATCCAAAGAAAAAGTAGATATTAAGAGCTCAATTTATTTATTCAAAGTTAATCCTCTTTATCTTAGCATATTTTTTCTTTACTAAGCTCTTATCACAATTAATATATAGGTTGGCTGAGCTTCGAATCCATCACGTCCCACCCCGTAAACGGATGTATAAATGGTTGATTGATTCTTTTTCTACGGCTTATTAACCTTTCTGCACGTTATTTAAAAACAGAAAATATTCTTATTTTTTGAAGATAATAATTGTTTAGTGATACAATACTTACTAATTAACCCATAAATGGGGGGAAGAAGACGTGGATTCATACCTTTCCCAAGGGTATTTGTGTGACACTATTTATTACTGCTAAATAAGGTTTTTTGGATAGAATGAACGATATACTGACAGATCTCTCGTAAATAAGAAGAAGACTTTTTTTTTTTTAAATAGAACGAATGATATACCAATAAACCATCGTGGGAAAGATTAAAGATTTTATTTCTCAAAAAGGCGAAATTTCTCAAGAACCATACGGCTAGCTAAAAACAACACCTAATTTTACGACTGGGACAAGTGGTGGCATTCTGACAGGTGATGTATGACCATCAGCTAAAAGTGTTGGCCGAGAAAACACAAATGGCAAGAATCGGATAAGATTTAAAATCATAATTCGGAGATAAGGATTTTCTTGGAGAATGTCTCCGACGAGACCCGAAAAACCATCTGGTTTGTGTTTCTATTTTGGACAAGGAAAAAAAAAGACTGAGTCTATTTTTTATTTTTATTTTTTGCCTTTGCCCGAACACTTACTTAATTTGATTATATTTATATTGAACATAATTATATTGTAGAGCACATGACCACATTTTTCGAAGGCGTGCTTCCTGTGAAAATCAGTATACGGAATCCTGTGCCGTATACAATCAGGACATGGACGATCATAACTCTCCACAACTTCCTATCCTTTGTAGGTGTAAATATTGTCTGTGTCCTTACTAACACTTCCAGATCATGTTTTGCCGTTAGGTACGTTATTCGATGTTTCCCTTTTGCTTTCAGTATGTCCTGTGAGTGTCAAATTCTCCAAGCCCTCTTTCCTCATTATATGTCCCAGTAATTTCAACTGTTACTTTCTGATTCTAAGTATAAGCGTTCTTTGTGCTTCCGTTTTCCCTAAAACTTTGTCGTTGCTCACATGTTGAGTCCTTGGGATTCTCACTATCCTTCTGTAGAAACACATCTCTGTTCCGTTAAGTCTTCTCTTCATCTGTAAGGAAATTGTCCAGCATTCAATGCGACAGAAAAGGAGTGGACAATATGTAACAGTTTAGTAGTCTTTTCTTTGTTTCTAACGAGCTTTTCCGGTTTTTTAATACTTTGTTTAGCTTTTGGAAAGCATTTTTCTCTATTCCAATGTGCCTTCGGATTTCGGTGTCATATTTTCCTTCGTCTGTTACGAACAACAACAACAACAACAACAACAATAATAATAATAATAATAATAATAATAATAATAATAACTAGTTTTAATCCATGAAAATCTCACGCTTTTCCTATTTGAATTTTCTGGCGAATCTTAATTCTTAAGTTAACGATTGAATAAGCTCATGGCAAGTTCTACGACCATAAAAGATCAGGAGAAATTCCCCTATCGAGTCTTTAAATATTTGAGCTTAACGACTTTAGCAAAATATTGCAATAAGAATCATAAATATGACTGCTGGTCGTTATTTTAGGAAGTAAGGGGGTACAAATAATAAAAAAAAGAAATTGAGAAATTTCCCATTACACTAAGACAGACGTGAAACACTTCTATAATCCTTTCTTTCTTTCTCTCTTTCTTTCTTTCTTTCTTTCTTTCTTTCTTTCTTTTCTCTACCATTTCTTTCTTTCGTTAAACACTTCTATTATTCTTTCTTTCTTTCTTTCTTTCTTTCTTTCTTTTTTTCTTTCTTTCTTTCTTTCTTTCTTTCTTTCTTTCACTGAAACAGACGTTAAACACTTCTATTATTCTTTCTTTCTTTCTTTCTTTTTTCTTTCTTTCTTTCTTTCTTTCTTTCTTTCTTTCTTTCTTTCTTTCTTTCTTTCTTTCACTGAAACAGACGTTAAACACTTCTATTATTCTTTCTTTCTTTCTTTCTTTTATTCTTTCTTTCTTTCTTTCTTTCTTTCTTTCTTTCTTTCACTGAAACAGACGTTAAACACTTCTATTATCTCTCCATCTTTGTTTGTTTGTTTGTTTCTTTCTTTCTTTCACTGCATCAGACGTTAAACACTTCTGTCAACTCTTCTTTCCTTTATTTTCTCACTGAAACCAAGTAGCGTCACTGATATGTCCTTTGTCTTCTCATGCGATCAAAACGGAATAGTCCATTATTGATGAGGTATTAACAAGATATATTAAACGCTTCTATTTTTCTTTCTTTCTTTTTCTCATTGAAACCAAGTAGCGTCTCTGATATGTCTTTTGTCTCTCCACGCGATCAGGACGGAATAATCCATTATTTATGAGGTATTGGCAGAAGACGTTAAGCACGTCTTTCTTTTCGTTCACTGAAACCAAGTAGCACCTTGATATGTCGTTTGCCTTTCCAAGCGATCAAAAAGAAATAGTCCATTATTAATGAGGTATTGGCAGGAGACTTTAAGCACTTCTTTGTTTCTTTGTTTCTGTATTTCTATCTATCTATCTATCTATCTATCTCAATCCGTTCATTATCTATCTATCTATCTATCTATCTATCTATCTCAATCCGTTCATTATCTATCTATCTATCTATCTATCTATCTATCTATCTATCTATCTATCTATCTATCTATCTCAATCCGTTCATTATCTATCTATCTATCTATCTATCTATCTATCTATCTATCTTACTTTCATTGAAACCAAGTAATATCTCTGATATATCTTTTGTTTATCCATGGGATCAAAACGGAATGGAAAAAGAAAAAAAATCATTAGACGCTTAAAATTAATTCACATTTAAAAACGGTCCAAGTTATTGAAACGGCCTTTATAATACGCTTCGCTCTCTCCCTCTCTCTCTCTCTCTCTCTCTATATATATATATATATATATATATATATATATATATATATTATTAATAAATTATTAATTATTAAAAATTATAACCTGAAAGTGCACACAAACTTTACGGACATCCTGTGTATATATATATATGTTTTTGAGCGTGTAATAATTGAGGAGTGTACAAAATAACGATGACCCACCCAGTGCCGTGCTAACTTGGTCCTGTTAACGCGTACTGATATCGCTATTGAAGAGTGTTCTTACATATAATACGCTACATATATCTTCAAGAACGCTTTGTTCCTTTTTAGAAATTCGTTTTAAACTTAAATTATAATTGAAAAAAGAGGTGGGGAACAAAAAGTAAATTTAAAAAATATATCTGGTGATACGTTGCTCTTAGTAGGACGAGAAATAAGCAGACTTTGAAATTACAGATTGAATCTACGGACAGTCAAGGATTACTCAGACCTTCCACAGTTTACACAAAATTATTGTGCTATGGGAACTTTTGAAGCAAACATAATTTTGATTGTAAATATGAGCATTTACGAGGAAAATATACGGACATCTTTCGTTAGGTGTTTATAAATTGTAAACTGTTCACTTATTAACGTTAAAAACGAATTATTTTAAATTATAAAATCGTACTTGGATTAAACGAAAATTACTTACAATTTAATAAATATTATAATACATTCCTTCTTGTCGACAATTTTGACAGTACGGTAAACTTGTTTTATAATAATTTACTAGTTGAGCTCACACACCTACCAACTTTGACTATCTTTACTTAATATTTACCAAGATTAGCTTAGGACCGAAACGACTACCTCTTAATTGCTGGTGTTTCCAGGTCCACCCTGACCCGGGGTGGTAGCACCTGTTAGGGTCTCAGCTATGGGCAAATAGTTAACACCTAAACTTGTGTAAAAATAGGTTTTGATACCAGAAAAATTTTGTAATAATAATAATTAAAAAAATATTACCAGCAATAATCTTTGAAGGAAAAATTATTATCAGCAATACTTTAAAAAAATACCAGCAATACAAACAGCTATACATTCTTTGGAAAAAATATGACCAGTTATAGATTTCTTCAAGGAAAAATATTCTCAGAAATAGATTTTTGAAGAAAAACATATTACCAGCAATAAAAATTTTGTCGGCATTAAATAACCCATTGAGGTTGATATGCCGTAAAATAAAACAAACCAAACCAATATATACTGAGATAGATAGATAAAAAATATTACCAGCAATAAAAAATTTTTCGGCATTAAATAACCCATTGAGGTGTTGATATGCCGTAAAACAAAGAAAGAGAAAAAGATAGAGGACCGACACGTTACGAATTGGTGCTTGCTTTGAAAATCAGCATTACAAATTTTAGCTTTTACCTAGGCTTGAACACCTGGTATTGATGGGAATTAGACTTCTACTATGTGAGAATTTCAGGCCTAGATCCAAAATACGTTATCAACACGTATGCATCATTGTAAAAAGAAAACGCGTCTTCGTATTCGGTCTTTCTTGAAGATTTTTTTTTGTTCTGAATTCTTCAATTCCGTTTGAAATTACCTTTTGCTTATTTTATCTGCAGGTTGTTCTGTTTTCTGTGCCAGGTCAAAGCCAACAGACCGTGGCATTTGGGATGGATGGATGAATGTCAAGAAATGTATTTGTAGGATATCCATATCATCAAATAACACATTTTCGAATAAAGAATTTTAATAAAGTATAGAATAGAAAAGCAAATGGAGCATTAGTCCGTAAACTCTTCCATTGTTAATGCGATTTAAGGATCTCTATCTTTTCAGGAAATAGATAGAGAATTTAATATATTGCAATTAAACCGTGCAATATTTATTTCGTTTGAAATTCTTTTGAAGCGACATGCTTGAACATTTCATGTCCGACAACGAAATAATGCCCGGATTTAACGTATTAAAAAGTGAAAAAGCAAATAACCTACAAAATAAATAAATGGTCGGACATGAACTGTAAGAATAGTAAAGGGGAACAATGTTTAGAGCTACAAAAGAAGAGGAAGTTGTGGAGATCTATGATCACCAATACCCTGATGGGATACAGCACAGGCCTTCGTCTCGTCCACTGCGAGGAAAGTTGGCTCCCTGAGCCGCGCTAGGAAGTTTTTCTCCCCTGAGTCGATCCTCCAGATATACAAATCCACAATTCGCCCTTGCATGGAGTATTGCTGCCATGTATGGTCTGGCGCCCATTCTGTCTGACTCGGGGTTTTTGATAGGCTCCAGAGGCGGATATGCAATATGGTTGGCCCTGCACTGGCGTCTCGTCTACAGTCACTTTCTCACAGACGCGCCGTCGCCTCCCTCTGTCTGTTCTACAAATACTTTCATGGAAATTGCTCCGAGGAGCTGCATTCGCTGGTTTCCAGACGTCATGAGTTCCAGCGCCTTACGAGGCTGGCATCCCGCTCTCACCCCTTCACTGTCGAAACTCTTAAATGTAGCTGTCTCTTCTACTCTAATAGCTTCATGTCTCGCACCTCTCGCCTGTGGAACTCCCTTCCCTTCTCCTGTTTCCCTGTGAGCTATAATCTCCAGCTATTCAAGTGTAATGTCAATCGACATCACCAGTTGCCTTAATCTATCCACTACCCTCATCCTTTCTTCTATCACTCCTATCTGATCTTGCTATTTTCTGTAACCCCTTGCGTCCTAGTGGCTTCCCGCCTTGCTTGGGGTGAATCGCTTAAAAAAAAAAATATTCATCTTCACAGGAAGCACGCCCTCACAACATTGGTCCTGTGCACTAAGATTTGTCTTCAATTTCAATAAAGGCAAAAATCGCCCGGTTCACTCTCCTCCCCGTTTTTTTTTAAAACAGGAGTATAGGTGTATCCCTTGTTTTCTTTTTAGGATTGGGTTTCCGGTTCCTTTTAAAGTTTTCTCATTCTCTTTCATTCCCAGTAAACCCTTGCGTCTTAGTGGTATTATCACCTTGCTTGGGGTGGATTGATTAAAAAAAAAAAATAGGTGTTCGATCCCAAGCGAAAGAAAGCAAAATAAGAACTCGTTTGTAGATTTTCTAGGCAAATGAAACATAATTATAAATTGTTACTTGTATCGAATACGAAGCTGATACAGTTCAAGGTTGACAATGAGAAAAGCAGCTTTTCTTATTTATTTTATACTATTAATTTCGTTATTGCTCGAGTTTGTCGTTAAGTATTCACGGCGTTATTTTTTGTTTTCTCTCCATTAAATCACACCAGAACGCGACCCCCAACAAGCGATTAGCTAGTTTGCCGACGTCTGTAAGGGATTCGGTCTGATTATTAGCATCACGAAAGCAAATGTCAGGGATCAGGATGTCCCAGCATCTCCGTCAATCAGCATCGACGACGTGGTGCTTGACGTCACAGATCCCTTCACGTGTTTGGGATCTATCATCACCAGTAACCTATCACTTGACCTACAAGCTGAGAAAGACATCTAAGCGACAACAGTGGTCAAATGGAGCAAGCAGTCAGCCGACCAAACTTAAATGCAAAGCTTTGATTATCTGCTACCTACGACGTATCCACGGCATTACATGACGCGACGAAGTCTCCACCAGGGCCGGTGTATGGGTCTCTTACCCACCCACGAATCTGTGATACGAGGTTCCCCATTCAACTACATCTCAGTTTTCATAATGTAGTATTCATATAAAATACAGAATTTTATTGCCACCTAATTTTGTATAATAATGGATCATATGCAATAATGGTGAACAATTCAAATAGAAATGTTAAAATAAATACAATGTATAGGGTTACAAAAAAATGGCATCATCAATTTTTGCTCAAATGATCTCAAATTTTAACAAAATGTTTAAAAACTAAGTTGACCCTGTGCACTTAATGTGAATCTAAGATGGATCGGATGTGCCAGCGATAATGACAATGTGCTCTTGAAATCGCCACCACGTTTACCTAAATTAAAACCTTGTGATTTTTTTGTATGGGGCTATGTGAAAGGAAGGGTCTATATCCCCACTCTTCCTACAAGAACTTAAGCAAAGAATCACTGAGATGATGGAGAATGTTACGCATAACATGCTACAGCGTGTTTGACAGGAGCTGGCCTACTGATTTGATGTGTGTCGTATCACAAGTGCTTCACATATAGAACATTTATGAAATCAAATTATAAAATCTACATCCCTCTGAATATCTGTTGTAGAGTAGTTTTCACAGTGGAGGCTTGTATTTCACTAAGTCGGTCCTAAAAGGGTTCGACGTACAAAACGTTAGGAACTTGAAATAAGAGTTAATCACGCAGTAATCTAGTTGTGGGGCTCATACTTTAATGTCCGACATCGACTGACTCACACAACTCACTGAGCTTCCTTGCAACTGCTACTACTTATTATCTGCGGGAGAGTCTATTTACAATAGAAATAGGTGCGTTCCGGTATAACAATATCGTGTTCAAATTTTGATTAATAAATCTTTTATTATTCAATATGAAGCCAGTTCTTGCTCAAATGATCTCAAATTTTAACAAAAACATGTAAAAACTATGTTGACTGTGCGAACTTACCTCAGTGAGAATCTACCAGGAAGATGGATCGGGTGTGCAAGTGATGACAATGTATCGTTGAAATGGCCACCACGTTCACCTGACTTGACACCTTGTGATTTTTTTTTCTATGGGGTTATGTGAAAGGACAGGGCTATATACACACCGGCCCGGTCACCAGCAATGCTATGCTGTGCTGGAGCAAGCTGAATACCCGAGAATGTATCTCTTTCTCTGTCATTTTTGTCATCGATGGCTGGGTCACGGCCTGGGGTACCCAATCAGGCTTGCTTCACCCTGTCGTGAAGTTTGGCGGTAGTACACACCGGCCCTGTCACCAACAGTACGATGCTATGCTGGAGCAAGCTGAATACCCGAAAATGTATCTATTCCTCTGTCAATTTTGTCATCGGTGGCTGGGTCACGTGCATCTGATGATGTTAGAAACGTTTCTTTATGAGGATCAAATTAAATGATTTTTTGAGGCGTTAAAATTTACAAGCCATTCGTTGCCCCAGTTAACAACTGATTGGAGGCTCTTTTCGTGATCATTTGCCAGTTTTATAATTTACTTTTCTAATTCTATGAACACAATGGCTTCCATGACGACATTTATATATGTAATAATTAACATACTGTAGGAGTGTAAAAAATTGCAGTACAGACTGTAAATAAAAGAATTACATTGTTGGAACTTGCAGGAATGAAAATAAAATGATACATGAACTCAAAAAGGATTTTTGATGAAGCAACACATTGAATGGATTCAATGTAATAAGCCAGGCAAGAATTTCGACTGAAAGAATGCAGATTTAATTGAAAGCTAAAGTAATTTATTATGACAAAAATATAGAGCATGTGCGCTGATTTCTGAGTCTTCTACGCTAAAATGGCTAACACATTGGCTATTTTCGTACGATGTGGGATATTTAAATAGAAGAGAGATTAATATGATAACAAGTTAAACTTCCTTCGATCGATACTTGTCTGTTTATCTAGCATTCTTTTTCTTTCTTTCTTTCTTTCTTTCTTTCTTTAGCCTGTCTTTCTTTCTTAGTCTGTTCATATCTATCTATCTATCTATCTATCTATCTATCTATCCTTCTTCTTTTCTTTTTCTTTCTTTCTTTCTTTCTTTCTTTTCTTTCTTTCTTTCTTTCTTTTTTAGCCTGTCTTTCTTTCTTTCTTAGTCTGTTCATATCTATCTATCTATCTATCTATCTATCTATCTATCTATCTATCCTTCACTTCTTTCTTTCTTTCTTTCTTAGTCTGTTCATATCTATCTATCTATCTATCTATCTATCTATCTATCTATCTATCTATCTATGTCTTTCTTTTTCCTTTTCTTCCTTTCTTTCTTTCTTTCTTTCTTTCTTTCTACCCCCCAGTCTGTTAATTTCTTTCTATCTATCTATCTATCTATCTATCTATCTATCTATCTATGTCATAGCCACCACTTCTTTCTTTCTTTCTTTCTTTCTTTCTTTCTTTCTTTCTTTCTTTCCACCTCTCTCAGTCTGTTCATATCTATCTATCTATCTATCTATCTATCTATCTATCTATCTATCTGTTCTTTATTTATTTCTTATAACCAGCAATGAAAACCATATTATCTATCTATCTATCTATCTATCTATCTATCTATCTATCTATCTATCTATCTATCTATCTATGTCCTCTACTTGTTTGTTTGTTTATTTATTTTTTCTTTCTCAGTCTGTTCATTATCTATCTATCTATCTATCTTTCTATCTATCTATGTCATAGCCACCACTTCTTTCTTTCTTTCTTTCTTTCTTTCTTTCTTTCTTTCTTTCTTTCTTTCTTTCTTTCCACCTCTCTCAGTCTGTTCATATCTATCTATCTGTTCTTTATTTAT